GCTCGGTGGTAAACAGGCCCTCAGGGACTCCTGAGAACCGCGAGACTGTCAGGGCACGTTTCAGGAGCTGTCGCAAGGGATGGTCTCCAGGTTGTAACAGCTTTGGCCTCTTAGAGGACACGATCCACTGACCAGCGTTTACTTCCCACCTTTGCTTTCAACACCAAGGGCCTGAAGAGCCCAGGCCGCAGGCGCTGGGTTTCTGGGCGCAGCTGGAAGTCTTCAGGAATCTTCCTCGGCACTAAGCCTCTGGCTGGGGCTGCTTCTCTTTCCTGCTGATCTTCTGGAAAGATTGACAGAAATCTTATTTTTGCCTACAGTAAGTTCCTGGGGGCCAGAGCCCCTTTTGGGGCAGCAGAAATCTAGGTCTCTCACTCTAGATTAAGTTAAAATTCCTTGATCCTGCCAACATCAGCCTGACTGGTCTCTTGCCTTCTAGAAAGACTGTATACACAGGTTCCCTCTGACCTTTAAAGAGGCAGTGTCTGCTGCTCCTGACCTTTCACTCGTAGTTGTCTGTTTCCTCTTCCGTCCTTGCCTTCTTTCAAAGCTTCCAGGGTTTAAATATTGCTACTTAACAGCATCAGTAATAGCCACATGTAGCTGCTGAGTGTGAAATTGGGCAAACCAAGATGTGCTTTAAGGGCAAAATGCATCCTTGATTTCAAAGACTCTGTACACAGAAAAAAAAAAAAAAGATGTACCATCTCAATAATTATTTTATGTTGATTATATGTTGACATGAGACTATTTTGGCTGCATTAATTAGATTTATTTATTTGACATGGAGTCTTGCTCTGTTGCCCAGGCTGGAGTGCATGATCTTGGCTCACTGCAACCTCCCCCTCCCAGGTTCAAGCCAACCTCCTGCTTCAGCCTTTGGAGTAGCTTTGAATGCACACCACCACGCATGGCTATTTTTGGTATTTTTAGTAGAGATGGGGTTTCACCCTGCTGACCAGGATGGTCTCAAACTCCTGACCTTAGATGGTCTACCAGCCTCAGTCTCCCAAAGTGTTAGGATTACAGGCGTGAGCTACTGCACTCCGGCCCCCCCAAAAATAGCCAGGAATAAGCCGGGCATGGTGGTGTAATCCTGGCTACTTGGAGGCTGAGGTGGGAGGATGGCTGGGACCTTGGAGGTGGAGGCTGCAGTAAGCCAAGATGCTGCCACTCCACTAGGGTGACAGAGCAAGACTTAGTCTCAAAAAAAAAAAAAAAAAAATTAGCTAGGCATGATGGCCGGCACCTGTGATCCCAATTACTCGGGAGGCTGATGTGGGAAGATTGAGTCCCACTATTCAATGCTGCAGTGAGCTGTGCTGGTGTCACTACACTCCAGACTGGGTGACAGACTCAAAAAAGAAAAAAAAAGTGAGGGGTAAGGGGGGATGATTCAGAGGCAACCTGGGATGGTGATCTTATCAAAGGCTTCTTTTTTTTTTGAGATGGAGTCTTGCTCTGTCACTCGGGCTGGAGTGCAGTGGCGCGGTGTCGGCTTACGCCAAGCTTTGTCTCCTGGAGTCCAGTGACTCTCCTGCCTCAGCCTCCCAAGTAGCTGGGACCACAGGTGAGCATCATCACATCCAGCTAATTTTTATATTTTTAGTAGAGACAGGGTTTCACCATGTTGGCCAGCCTGGTCTTCAACTCCTGACCTCATGATCTGCCCACCTCAGCCTCCCAAAGTGCTGGGATTACAGGCATGAGCCACCTCACCCAGCTGGCTAATTTTTTTTTTTTGACACAGAGTCTTGCCCTGTCACCCAGGCTGGAGTGCAATGGCATGATCTCAGCTCACTGCAACCTCCACCTCCCGGGTTCAAGAGATTCTTCTGTCTCAGCCTCCCAAGTGGCTGGGATTGCAGCCTCATGCTACCATGCCCGGCTAATTTTTTTGTATCTTTAGTAGAGATGGGGTTTCACCAAGTTGGCCAGGCTGGTCTTGAACTTCTCACCTCATGATCTGCCCACCTCAGCCTCCCAAAGTGCTGGGATTACAGGTGCAAGCCACCACGCCTGGCCCAAGCTGGCTAATTTTTTTAAAGTTTTTTTTTTTTGCGACGGAGTTTCGCTCTTGTTACCCAGGCTGGAGTGCAATGGCACGATCTCGGCTCACCGCAACCTCCGCCTCCTGGGTTCAGGCAATTCTTCTGCCTCAGCCTCCTGAGTAGCTGGGATTACAGGAATGCACTACCACGCCCAGCTAATTTTTTTTTTTGCATTTTTAGTAGAGACGGGGTTTCACCATGTTGACCAGGATGGTCTTGATCTCTTGACCTCGTGATCCACCTGCCTTGGCCTCCCAAAGTGCTGGGATTAAAGGCATGAGCCACTGCGCCCAGCCTAAAAGTTTTTTTTTTGTAGAGACAGGGTCTCAGTATATTGCTCAGGCAGGTCTTGAACTTCTGGGCTCAAGTGATCCTCCCCACTCAGCCTCCTAAAGTGCTAAAATTATAGGTGTGAGCTACCATGTCTGGCCAAAGGAATTTCTACTTTTTTTTTTTGAGACGGAGTTTTGCTCTTGTTACCCAGGCTGGAGTGCAATGGCGTGATGTTGGCTCAACGCAACCTCCGCCTCCTGGGTTCAGGCAATTCTCCTGCCTCAGCCTCCTGAGTAGCTGGGATTACAGGCACGTGCACCATGCCCAGCTAATTTTTTGTATTTTTAGTAGAGACGGGGTTTCACCATGTTGAGCAGGATGGTCTCGATCTCTTGACCTTGTGATCCACCTGCTTTGGCCTCCCAAAGTGCTGGGATTACAGGCGTGAGCCACCACGCCCGGCCAGAATTTCTACTTTTGAAAAATAAGGGTTCCTGGGAATTGCTTGCAATAGGTGGCCTTCACTGAAAATTTCAAATTTCTTGTGCCACTCCATGTTATTTAGGAATCACTCTACCAGAGTTGCCAGTAACCAAAGTCAGTCTTTTTCTTTTTTTGAGATGGAGTCTCGCTCTGTTGCCCAGGCTGGAGTATAGTAACACGGCTCACTGCAACCTCCGCTCCCAGGTTCAAGTGACTCCTGCCTCAGCCTCCCGAGTAGCTGGGACTACAGGCATGCGCCACCACGCCCGGCTAATTTTTGTATTTTTAATAGAGACTGGGTTTCACCATATTGGCCAGGCTGGTCTTGAACTCCTGACCTCATGATCTGCCCGCCTCTGCCTCCCAAAGTGCTGGGATTAAAGGCGTGAGCCACTGCACCCAGCCCAAACTCAGTCTTTTCAGATGTTCTGTTTGGGCCAGATATGATTCTCCACTCCACCCCGTGGAGATTTATCCTCTTGGCCAGTTGGGGGAAGGTGAGCTGGCATCCCTAGGCAGGCAAGACAGGGCAGAGAGCTCAGTGCCTCCCTGGCATCCCCTTGCCTACCCATGCAGGTGACACTTAGGGCTCCAGGGTTTGGTGTGAGCAAGGCTGAGAGCCTTCCCGTGACTCTGCAATGACCTATGACCTGTTTTAAATTTTTCTTGAGACCGAGTCTTGCTCTATCACCCAGGCTGGAGTGCCGTGGTGTGACCTTAGCTCACTGAAACCTCCGCCTCTGGGGCTTAAGTGATTCTCTGCTTCAGCCTCCCAAGTAATTGTGACTACATATGAGTGCCACCACATCTGGTTAATTTTTATCTTTAGTAGAGTCAGGGTTTCACCATGTTGGCCAGGCTGGTCTAAACTCCCGACCTCAAGTGATCCACCTGCCTTGGTGTCCCAATGTGTTGGGATTAGAGGTGTGAGCCACCATGCTCAGCCAGCACTGACATTTGAAAGTCACAAAGGCTGAGTGTCACCTGTGCCCTCTCTGCCTTCCTGCCGTTCACCTGCCAGAAGCCACCCTTTTCCTGTCTGGAGCGTCAGCTGAAGCACACATCAGACCTGGATAGACTGGGAACTGGGAACTGAGAAAGGGTTAAACATGGGCATGGAGGAGTTGAGAGGCAGAAGCAATGGAGAAAGTTAAAAATAGTATTCGGCCGAGAGCAAGGAAGACAAGGGCACAGCTAGACTTCAGTTCATGACTGATGGGTTTGAGAATGATTCTCGCTTTTTCCCCCTGCAACTGAATAGGAAGAGGCTGACCTTCTGCCTTGGGAGAGACCGGAGTTGGATGTTACCCTGTGTCCTGGGGGGACCAGATGCCAGAGTAGGATGGGGACCAGGAATCTAAGCTGAATGTGACTCTGGGTCCTCCTCTCTCGGCACCTGATCCAAGGTGGCCTTGGGAATCCTACCTGTTTGGGAATGGGGCTATGATCCCAAAGCTTCTAGCTGCCAGTTCTCCCTAGGCCCCCACTTGGTGCTGTTATTTCTTTCTCAATTTTTTCTAGCTTTTCATTTTTTTTGTTTCCCTGCCCCCCACCTCCTCCTTTTTATCTTTTCCCTGAACAAGCAGGACTTCCAGAGCCCGATGGATCGGCCCCCAGTCTGTGAACACCTCCAGGCCCCTCCACTCTGCAGGGGAAGACAGGAATAACCAGCTCGGGCTCCTGGCTCAGACCCAGCCTACACCCGGGGGAGGGGCTCCCAGCACTGACCTTGCTTAGTCCCCTCATGCCCCAGGCTTGGCCAGAGGGCACAGGGATGGAAAAAGAGCACATTCTCTGCTGCCCAGGAACATGGTGCCCTGGGACTGGACAGGCTAATGGTTTTGTCCAGCGTTTTGGAATCTCTTGGGAGGTGAGGAGAGGCTTCTCTGGCTTCAGCCATAAAAGGGAAGTTGGGTCTCCTAACTTTCGGGAAAATGCTTTCCTACTCGCCTCGCCTCCTGCTTTGCTGGAGCCAGAGGAGGGGCACTGCTGTCTTTGTTGGAAGAGCTAAGAAATTGGGAGGGCCAGGCCTCCACCCTGTTTCCTCATGAATGGGAAGCAACACCCCTTCCTCCCAGCTCCTGGAGCTGGTGGGCGCTCCCTTCCCCTCTCCAGTATCCCAGTTGTCATGCTCCCTCCAGAGCCAGAGGGGACAAGTCACAGTGGCCATTCAGACAGGAGAGAGACGCAAGGTTAGTGTGAGCTCCCTGGAAGCCCCAGGATGTGATCTTTAATTGATTCTCCTGTCCCTGCCTCCCCACCCCCCACCCCAGGTGATGTATGTACAGGATGCTGTGTGAAGGCCCAGGCAGAGGCAGCCTCCACTCCTCCCTGGGCTCTGCCAGGGCAGGCACTCACTAGGGTGGGGTAGGGAGATGCAGACAACTGGGAGCCAGGGTGGCTGGTCACAGGAAGTCTCATGTTCCCCACCCCTATGTACACGTGCACACACAGACATGCCCATGTGTGCAGAGGTATTCACACTTGTGCAGAGATGTGGATCCAGATGCTGTGCCCAGACGCACTGTGCCTGTGCACGGGTGCACACCCAAGGACGGATGCCTTCAGGTAGCGCAGCAACAGGGAACACCCAGCCCTTCCCTGCCCCGCCTCAGCTTGCAGGGCTGGTGGAGCAGAGCTGGCCCAAGGGGTGCCTCCACTCAGCCCTTGAGTGGGCAGTGCCAGCTGGAGCATGGTATTTGGACCCCACTGCTGTCAGGTACATCCAGCCACCCAAATGGGGTCAGCCAGTCCCAGGCCTGTTTTCCCCTGAGGGTGGTGTGAATTAACAGGGAATGATTCCCTCTGCAACTCCTCCTCAAAGGTGCCCCAGAAACAGAAGGGGCTCAAACAAACAGCTCATGGGCCTGGGGGTTTCAGAGCTCCCTGCCAGGGTGCCCCTGGCGACAGGAACTGCATTCACTTGTGGCTTTCATCCATCCGGTAGCTGGCCCCCATCTGGCCCCTACCAGCTATCTTTCAGGGTCAAGGAGCCAGAGCTCCTTCCTCTGAAGCCAGGGTCGTGAGGGAAGGCCACCAGCAGGACTGTGTGAAGACTGAGGAGCTCCACTTGGCTCTCAGGCTCAGCTGCAGCAGGGACGGATGGACGGGGCATATAATGGGGGAATCTTCTGTAAACTTACTACTCGGCCCTGGAATTGGGGAGGGAGTGGAATGGACTTGATGGGGCAGCCTGGGATCATCTCCCTATCCTACCTCCTCCTGCTTGTCCTAGGCAGAGCCCTAACCCTGCAGGCACAGGGCCACCTAGGCCTCACCTCCAGAGTCCTCCCTGGAAAGACGGCCCAGGTGGGGGCATCTAGGCCACACCAGGGGGCACCTAAACCCTGAGTTGGCCCCAGAATCACCCTTCTTGAAAGGGGGAAGGTGCCATTTTATTTCAAGGACTATATTTTCTAGATTCCCCTCTCCCCAGATCCCTGCATCCTGACAGGGACAGGATGGTTGTTTTGGAATTGAAGACGATCTGGGACATGTGGTCGCCGTACCCATAACCTAGGCCTTGGGCACGGCACAGGCAGCTTTGGTTTGAATCAGCACTCATACTTCCTCCAAGCTCAGTGGGGCTGGGTGGGGGCAAGCTGGGATGCCCGGCCCCTGCCCATGCTCAGTGACAGGACTTCAGGTGTGGTCATCCTGGGTGAGGGTCTGGGGAACAGCCACACCTCAGTTCCTCCGGGCCCTCCTGTCAGTGTCAGAACATCCCAACTGCCCTGGCCCCAGCACCCCCAAGTTTACATTCATCTATTAAGGTTCAGTTTAAAAATATGTAGATGTCAGCCCCTTCCCCCTAGGTCCCAGAGAGGTAAGACCCTGGTCTCAGCTGCCTGGTTGCAAGGAGGGGCCAGCCAGGCCAGGTCCACTGGCGGCTGCCTGGGGGCATCCCTCCAGGCCCTCGAGTTAGCTGTGGCAATCCGTGAAATGGAAGCTACATTCACACCGGGGAGTGGTGTGCAAGGCTGAGCCACAGGAGGTGGGAGGGGGACTGTGGAGGAAGCGCCCTCCAGGCCTGGTCCACCCTGATGGTGCCAAGAGCAGGGCCACAGCCCCCGCCCAAACCCCTGCGGGGCCAGGAGTTGAACGGTTTGGAACTGGAAGACATTTGCATGGTGCCTCCCTCCGTGGCTGAATGGGGGCAGCCTCGCGGTTCAGGGCCAAGACGGTGGGTGCCAGGCTTGGAGGGAGGGGGGTGGCACCTAGGCCCCTCCGGACCTGGAACGGAGAGGGGGCATCAGGGGAGGACATGAGCAGGGGCCACGGGGTAGAGCCCCCCCAGCAGGGCCCTGGAGCTCAGCGCTAGGCTCTGGAGGCAGGCGGCAAGTCACAGGCTGGCCGGGGAGGGGATCTGCAGGTCAGACAGTGGTGACATGGAAGACAAAACAGATGGGACGCACAGGGAGGCCCCTCCCAGGGATGGGGACTGCCAGAGGCACAGCTCCAGGTCTAGGGTCCACCTGGTGGCGGGGGAAGGTCTGGCCCAGGCCAGGCACATGAGAAGGACGCGAGGCCTGAGTGGGTGGCGGGCGAGGATGAGGGCAGGCTGGGACCTTCTTCCCCGAGTGAGGCTCTCCCACCCCTGCCGGGACAGCTTGGCAGCAGGAGTGGGGGAATCAGCTCCCACTCCCCATCCACAGAACGCGGGGTGACGAATGAGATGGAGGAGACAAGGACAGCGGGAGGAATGACGTGGCCGGCATCACACTGCCCCCTGCTGGGTCGGGTCATACCTTCCTCGGCGGATGTTTCTGGAGGGGGAGGATAGTGGAGGGGGAGGAAAAGGAGACGTCTGACCTTCTGCTCCTCTCAGGAAGGGGCCTTCAGCTGCCATGCAACCCCTTGCCCCAGATCCCCCAGAGAGGGGCCAGGGTTCCTGGGGCCTGGACTCTAATGTAAGGGCCAGGGAGAATTACCCAGGACACCCACCAAAAATGCATCCCAGCTTCTAGTTCTGATGCTGCCACTAACTCAATTATATGACCTTGGGCCTCGGGTTCCTCCTCTGCACATTAAGGGGGTTAGACCAGCGCAAAGACCCCAGACTTAGAAATGCACAAAGCATCGTAGGCTGGGTGGGGATGAGGGACTGGAGGGGACATGCCTGGCTTGACCGGCCCCTGCCCAGCTCCACTCTACAGCTATGTGGGGATGCCTGGACGATGGGGCGCCTTGTCATGTTTCCAGAAAAGCTGGAAATCCAGATTGCTAATGTAGAATCTCCAGGGTTCATTCTTTCTTTTTTTTTTTTTGAGATGGAGTCTCACTCTGTCACCCAGGCTGGAGTGCCGTGGTGTGATATTGGCTCATTACAACCTCCACCTCTTGAGTTCAAGAGATTCTCTTGTTTGAGCCTCCCAAGTAGCTGGGATTATAGTTGTGCACAAACACGCCTGGCTGATTTTTTGTATTTTTAATAGAGACGGGGTTTCACCATGTTGGCCAGGCTGATCTTAAACTCCTGATCTCAGGTGATCCACCCACCTTGGACTCCCAAAGTGCTGGGATTATAGGTGTGAGCCACTGCATCCAGCCTAAAATTTCGTGGTTTCTTTTTTCTTTTTTTTGAGACAGAGTCTCACTCTGTCGCCAGGCACCAGGCTGGAGTGCAGTGGCACGATCTCGGCTCACTGCAACCTCCCCCTCCCTGGTTCAAGCAATTCTCCTGCCTCAGCCTCCCGAGTAGCTGGGACTACAGGTACACTCCACTAAGCCCAGCTAATTTTTGTATTTTTAGTAGAGATGGGGTTTCACCATATTGGCCAGGATGATCTCGATCTCTTGACCTCGTGATCCACCCGACTCGGCCTCCCAAAGTGCTGGGATTACAGGCGTGAGCCACCAAGCCTAGCCCAAATTTCCTGGTTTCTAAATGTTAAGCCCTGCAGGCTGCTTGGTGTGTGACCTATGATGTGTGAGCTCTGGTTTAGCTAAGCTCTCGGGGAGGACCCTCAGCTCTACCAGTCAGGGATTCTGACCCCCCTCAAGGGCACCAGGGGGCACAGGCACAGGGTGTGTGTGTCTCTTACTTAAATCCCCAGCCCGTGCCGCCCAGGACGATGGCTGCAACCAGGACAGCCCCGGCGATGGAGCCAATTATGATGTTGGTGCCGCTGGGACCTGGGGAGGAGGGCAGGGCTCAGTCGTCGGGGACAGGCACAGAGAACGGGACAGACAGCCCCACCTCGGCCAGCTTCAGCCTCACCTTTGTATCTCTCTGTCTCCCCCGTGGGTGGGGATGTGGGCAGGGGGTTGTGGATACTGCAGTCTTTGCCTGTCCAGTCTGGCTGACAGATGCACTTCCCTTCATTGCTGCAGACCTAGAGGTGGGGCAAGGCCAGAAGATGTGAGCAGGGGCCTGGCCCCTCCTGTAAGCCTCTCCTGCCATCCCGGCCTCCAGGCAGTCACCCCATGGTGGGAGCAAATCCGGCGCTCCCCACTGCCGGGGCAGGTGCTGAAGTTGAAGGCAGAGGCTGGCAGGCAGCGATGGTCCAGGCATAGCATGTTGGGTCCGCAGGCTGTGCCATCCTCCACGTAGCTCAGGTCGGAGCCATCTGCCAGCTGCACGTGGCCTCCCCTAGGGATGCGACACAGCCAGTCTCAGCCCCCTGTCTCCTAACCCCTAGCACAGCTGCAACCTGCCCTCCCTAGCCTTGGTCCTAGCCAGCACCTGCAGTCCAGCTCCTTGCCCTGGTGGTAGAAAGTGACACTACTGATGTCTCCTACCAGGTCCCCTAGCCGAGGAGCTCCAGAGATGTTGACACAGAGGAGGAAGCCACACAGCACGTCCCTGTTGGGGCACATGGAGACAGTGAGCCCCAAGTTTGACCTCAGACTCAACTACTGAACTCTAATCTGCCCTCAGCCTGCACCCTACCACCTGATTTGCCAAGTGCCTGCCCATTGGGACTGACAGGCTCCTCCTAGGAGAACCTGCTGCCCATCTCTTTAAGGTCTCACACCCGCTGAGGAGCTGGGAGGCCCTCTGGGAGCCTCAGTACTCACTGCTTACTGCACTGCACCCAGCCTGATCCCTTTCGCCCACAGCTCCCACGCTCCGTCCCCTCCACATTCAACTTCTCGTAGCAGAAGCGATCAGCAGCCACTGTGGGGAGAGGATGCCAAGTGTCACCCCCACACACCCCAGGATCCACCCCAGGATCTCAGGCCTGCATCTCCCACACTTTGGCCTGAACCCCAGGCTGCCTGCCTGGGTCCCTGAGATCCTGGGGAGCTACACACTTAGGGGCCTGCTCAGCTGGAACCCACCCTCCCCAGTCTCTGAGCTCCGGATCCTCCAGAGTCCCCACTCCCAGCCCTAGCTGGACTCACCATGGCCCCAAAGGGCCTGGCATTGCCGGTCCCGGGTTTTACAGCGACCTCCGTAGCAGCGGCCCTAAGGGACCACGAATTAAGAGGAAACAAGGGATGGAGATGCTGAGTGGTTAGAGTGAGACAAGAGACTGCCCTGAACCCCAGGCTAGGGGAGCAGCCATCAGCCATCATACCTGCTCATGATCACAGTAGTAACCGTCCAGCTTGTGCAGGTTAGGGGGGCACTGTGGAGAGAGGAGTGAGGTTGAGCAGAGCAGCCCCAGGACTGGAGCTGAGGCCTGCCCCAGGGAGGAATGCTTGGTGCCAAGTGCCCCCCCATGTGGAGGCTCAGGCTACAGGGCTCTTCCACGCCCAGGACAAGGGGTCTGTCTGGCTCTGGACCCAGACCACAAGGATTTGCAAGCCCCAGAGCCGCTCCAGCCTCCCTCCCTCGTAGGGCTGGGAGAATGAAATGCCTGACATGTAATTAGGTTTTAATAGATGTTAACTAATATCATCATCCACTCTGATCTCTAACCTACACCAGGCACCCGGCCAGGCGCTGGGAATACCAGCCAGACGATAAATTTTGGTTTAATGACGGAAGGAACAAAGCCAGGAGGCATGAAGAACCCCTTCCTCAGATAAGAAAACTGAGTCTGATCCGTGGGGGTCGACGCCAGCTGTGGAGAGGAGGGGAGTGGAGAGCGCACACCGGGAAAACCAAATCCACAAGGGTAGGGGTTCCCTCGCCCAGGGCTCCACAGGACGGCGGGGCTGGGTGGACCTGGCTCGAGTCCCCAGTGCAGGTCTCCGCGATGTCGCACTCGTTCACGGCCTCTCTGCAGGACACACCCCGTGGCTCGTACTAGGGAAGAGACGCGGTCCCCAGGTCAGGCAGGATGGATGCCTCGGCCCGGGCCCCACATCCTCGGGCCCTCTAGCTTCACGGGCCCCCGTTCAGGTCTGTTCTTATTTCCCTGCTCCCACCACCTCTCCGCCGCTTCCCACCTCGCACCGCCCCCAAGCCCGCCCACATTCCCGCCCCTCCCTGCTTCAGGGCAGCCTTCCCTTCCCGCTCCTCGTAGCCCCGCCTTCAACATCCTTCAGCCCCGCCCCTTGCTGCTCATTGGCGCTGTTTTCGCATCAAGCCCCGCCCAAGAGGGAATACGCCCCTGAAGGCCCCGCCTCCCTCTGCCCGCCCCTTATCTGAAGGCCTCCAATCGCTCCTCCTGCGTCCTGGCCCCACTCCCGGCGGGTCCTCCTTACCTTGCAGCGGCGACAGCAGAGCCCGTCGCTGCACATGGCATCATGAGTCAGGGTACATTTCTTGCAGCAGTTGCCACCCGCGCGGCTGCACTCCTGAGGGACGCGGGAGAAGGGGAGGGAGGCGGGCGAGCCCTAATCCTCCCCACTCGGACGCTCCCTTGTGCCCACCCCCGCATCCCGGCCCCCCACCTGGCGTCCGCACTACCGCTTACCTGCACGGAGCCGCAGTCGCACTCCTCCCCTGCCTCCACGAAGCCGTTCCCGCACTCTGGGGGGTCCAGGAGCTGGACCGGGAGGACAGGTCGGGAGTCTGGCCCAGACCCCGCCCAGGCCCCACTCCCAGGCTCCCCGCTGCGGGGCTGGTACCTTGAGGGGCTTATTGAAGAGGCAGCTCCCACCACCCTCCTGCAGAAACTGGTTATACTCGTCGATGCTGCAGCGCGAGAACTTGCGGGGCAGATAGAACCTGGGCAGGGTGAGGGGAGGTGCCGCTGGCTGCTCCCCTCCAACCCACCCTCTCACCCTCTCAAGACTGGAGAGGAGGCGCTCTGGGGAACTCGGTCACCATCGCGAGGAGGCGGAGGATCTGCCCGCGATTGCACCAGAATCCTCCCTCTTGTCGCAGTCGTTCCCGTTCCCTCCGCGGAACCTGGGGACTCCCAGCAGCTCTGGAGGGAAGGTGCCTCCACGCGAGGCTGGGGCGGCACCCAGTGGCCGCGGTGCGCACTGCAGCCTGGCCGGTTTTGGTGTCCCAGCAGGGGAATCTGGGTCTCCCCGGACAGTGTTTGCGGGAAAACTGGGTTTCTTGGATACTGAGAGGTTCTGTGAGCTGGGCCTCTTGAGCCCCCTGGTCCAGACTGCCAAGGAGTGCTCGCTCTAGGACGACCCTCACCCAAGACCTTCCCCCGGTTTGTCCCCGAGAACTCACCCAGTGTCCTCCATGATGCAGCCCAGCCAGATGTCGGGACACTTGCAGTCCCCTGAGGGGTGAGCCAGGCGGAGATGAGATGAAGGAGGCCAAGGACCACCCTCCCACTTACACCCTCCGCATCCCAGAGCTGCTGGGCAAGGGCCACACGGGGACCTCCGGGGCGGATACCTGCTGAGCTCCGGTGTTTGTTCCACATCATGCCCAGGTTCTGCCCCAGCGTCTGAGCCAGGGTCACGGCCATCGCCCCCATGTTGCCGTACTGGGAGTGGGGAAGATGGGGCACAGATGTCTACATCTTCCCACAGGCACATAGTGCCCTTGAAGCCCCTCTCCCCCAGCCATGGCCCTCACTGCTCACCTCATTCACACCCCCACCCCGGGACAGGGAGCAGATGCCCCCCACGTAGGCTGCCCCACTGCTGGTGCTCTGGAAGGTCCTGCCCCTGGAAGGGAGAGCGCTGTCAGGATGGCCTCCTGCCCTCCCCTGTGGCTTCCTGGGTGGTGGTGGGGCCTTGGGGATCCCCTGACACAAGGGCCCTTCCTCGGGAGGTGGCCCTTGCCCTTCACACCAGCCTTGGTGACCCCAGGCAAGACCCTTCCCCTCCTTCGGTTCCTATTTCTTTTTATTTTTTTTTTTGAGACAGTTTCACTCTCGTAGTCCAGGCTGGAATGCAGTGGCATCATCTCCGCTCACTGCAACCTCCACCTCCTGGGTTCAAGCAATTCTCCTGCCTCAGCCTCCCAAGTAGCTGACTACAGGCACCCACCACCACACCAGCTAATTTTTGTATTTTTAGTAGAGATAGCATTTCACCATGTTGGCCAGGCTGGTCTTAAACTCCTGACATCAAATGATCCACCCACCTTGGCCTCCCAAAATGCTGGGATTGCAGGCATGGGCCACCACGCCTGGCCTCTCCTTGGGTTCTTTTGCCCATAAGGCAAAGGAGACGCTCCTAGTAGACCATCTCTAGTTGCAAGGCCCTTTTATTAGATTTTTTTTTCCCTACCAGGGCACTGGGTCCCTGAGGAAGGGATGCTGGGACAGTTTGAAAGGGGAAAGATGGAACTAAGGGGACGTGAGGAAGAGGACGACCAGGGCTAAGACAAGGGCATCAACCTCAGGTTCAGGGGAAGATGCCCAGCCTGTTGCCCATGGCTGGGGGGAGGTGACAAGGTGCAAGGTGAGCCCAGTCCCCAGACTCTAGGAAGAGCACCTGGCACAGGGCAGGTGTTAAGTAACCCTAAGCACTGTAGCAACTAGCAGAGGCTGGCAGGAGGCACATGGTGGGGGACTCACGAGAAGAGGTGGGTGGCATCGCTGGGCTCAGGAAGACCTTCCCGTCGGTAGACCATGAGCCGGGCCAGGGTCTCCAGGAGGTCATCCTGCACCTGGATCTTGTCCCCATCTGCCCATGTTTCCATGGCAACCAGGACGATGCGAGTGTTGAGCTGCTCCTTGTATATCTGGGCCCAGAGGGGAGAAGATGAGAGGGCTGGAGGGTGGGAGTGAGTGTTCGGGCCAGGGCTGGAGGAGCGCCTGTCTGTTTCTCCAGGAGGTGAGAGCCAGAGGCTGACAGTGCCCCCTGTTGTGTGTGGTGGGGTGGGGAGCCTGAGTGGGGTGGGGAAGGGAGGGAGGGATAGCTGCTTACCACATCGGCCAGGTTCACCACGGACTTGGCAAAGTTGCTGGTGAGGACCACCGACTGTCGCATCTGCTCGAACTGGGAGAGAGAGGAGAGGGAGGAGGGCCAGGCTCCTTGGGGGCTTCCTCCCAGTGCCACCCGCCTTCCTCGGCCCGGGAACTCACCAGCTGGTGGTCATTGATCACAATTAGCTCCACGTACTTGGTCTCACTGTGCACTGTAGGGTGGCCCCGGCGGACCTGGGGGGCGGGTGGGCACTTGGAATCAGTCCCTTCCATGTCTGACTGATCTCATGGCCAAGCCAGGAACAGACGCGGTGGGGATGGGGGGTCTGGACTCCAGCCAGGGACAGTGCCAGCTCCCCCTGGCAGAGGGTCCTGTCCCTCCTCAGCTTTGGAATGAGGGCAGACAGCCTTGATTTGCCCAGGATGGAGCTCTGTAGATGCCAGCATTAGGGAAGGGGTGGGGGCTTCTCCCAGACACAGTCCCTGGCCCCCAGCCACATCCGTCTGAGCCCTCCTTCGCCCCAGCCATGGATGGGGGTGCCCTCCTGCTCTGGGCCACAGCCCAAGGTCTCTGCAGCTTGAGGTCTCTGCAGCCCGAGGTCTGTGCGGGCCCCCGTACCTGCCTTTTCCTTCTCAGCCTTGGATGATTTGGAGGAGCCGACTGGGCAGGCACAGTGAACAGGCAGCCTGTGGGGAGGGGTGGTGAGGGGGGCACAGCCAGCCCCTGCCCACCCCCCTTCCCTCCCTTACCTGGTTCCCTGCATCTGAGGGGATCTGGAAGGAGAGGGGTCCGGTAGATGAGGTGGGGAAGGGGTCCCTGCAATGAGGGTAAATTAGTTCTTGGTGTGCCAACCGGGTCTCCTCCAGGCCCACTTGAGGGGGCCAGATCCAGACCTCCCCCGATCCCATCCTGAGGTGACCCAGAACTGGCCAGAGCTCCCATGTTGGATCTGATCTCCCAGATGCTCAGATTCCGGGGTCAAGACCTGGGAGCACCCTGAGAGACAGGGCAAAGGACATTGGAGCCCAATGGGAGGTCACTTAGGGGACAGAGGGGACATTGGAGCTGGGAACACAGGGGGAGCTGGGAACACGGGAGGGAGGGAACCAGAGCTGGGGTCACTGAAGAGGGCAGTGAGGCTGGGGTTACTGAGGGAAGAGCACGAGGAGGAAGAGGTGGCAGCAACAGCTGTTGGGACAGGCTTGGCAGGGCCACCAGAGAGGACAGCGAGGGGCCTACCTGGGGGGCTCCCCAAGGTCCAGCCACCTCTTGGGGCTCCACGATGTAAGTCACGTTCCCATCAGAGAAGACCCCACTGTGGAGAGAGAGGCACAGCTCCTCACTGTCCCTGGGTGCAGGCCGGAGGCTTCTCCCAGCTGCCTGGCCCCTCCCCATACTCACTGCAGCCCCTGGCAGGTAGAGAGGGCGGCGAAGGAGTGCGTGTTCCCCCGGAGCTTCCCCTGGTAGTAGCAGTGGTCTCCAGCCCCCTGGAGGAGCAGAACTCTGGCAAGGGGTAGGGGGTGGCCGACGGGCCTCAAGGCTTTTTGGGGGCCACTGAAGCTGCCCTGTGTTCAGGTCACACAATCTCTGGGTACACCTGGGGCTCTGGAGCCTGTTTCTAAATGGGCGGTGCTCCTAATTTGCTGTGCCACCCCGGGCAAATTCCTACCCCTCTCTGGGCCTCCTTCACCTCATGTATAAAATAAGGAAGCTGGACTACAGCAATGGTTCTTTTTGTTTGTTTGTTTTTGAGGCAGGGTCTCGCTCTGTCACCCAGGCTGGAGTGCAGTGGCACAATCTCGGCTCACTACAACCTCCACCTCCCGGGTTCAAGCTATTCTCATGTATTTTTAGTAGAGACAGGTTTTCACCATTTTGGCCAGGCTGGTCTCAAACTCCTAGCCTCAGGTGGTCTGCCTGCTTTGGCCTCCCAAAGTGCTGGGATTATAGGTGCCTGGCCTACAGCAAGGGTTCTTAGTCATTTGCTGGGGCTGGAGAAGGGATCAGACTCCTTTGAGAATAACAGGCAATGTACATTTAGCACCTACCGTGGGCCCAGCACTGTTCTGTGCACTAACCATGTATTATCTCATTTAATCATGTACATCACACACAACCTCATGCACTGCCTCCCGGGATGACCCTGGGTCCGTGGTTGGCTGAGGAGTGCTGGGCAGCATGTGTCCTCCTGGCCAGCCTCGTGGGTTGGGGCGGGATGGGGGGAATGACCAGCGGCACCCTCCCCCTCCAGCTCTGCCTCCTACAGAATTACTTGTGCTCCAGTTACTGAACAGACGGGGGTGTGGCGGGGAGGTGGAGGGGTGGGGGGAGACAGACTATTTATAGACACTCATTCATTTTCAGGCTCTAGGGCCTGCAGGGTTGAGACCCTGGTGTCCCAGGCAGCTGGGATTTCCCGGGGCCTTGGTACTGAAGGGCCTTTCCTCAGCTGCCCCTGTCAGAAGAATCTGAAGAGGGGATTCGTGGCAGCCAGCACGGAACAATGAGGGTCCCCGTAGGCCCCATGCAAGGCAGGTGGGCTGGCTGGGAGTCAGAGCTCTGGGGCCAAGTGAGGGGAGCTCAGGGCCCCATGCACTCAAGCTGCCCACCGTCCACCCTCAGAGCCTCCTGGGTGGGGAGAGAGGGAAGGTGCTGAGGGGCCAGGCCAGGACCCCATCTCCAGCAGTCACCTGTCCCTACACCTGTGACCTCAGAACCACAGAAACAGCACCTCCCTTTCACCCTGGCCCAGGCCCCTGCAGAGGCACTCACGGTGCTGTGCTGGGTTGTCCCCTCCCGGCTGAAGTGACGCTCCACATATTGTGAGGAGAGGAGGTGGCTGAGACAGAGGGAGCAGCAGGAAGGCGGGTCACGGGCGAGGTGAGGTCGGGCATGGGGCCCACCCCAGCTCAGGGTCCCAGTCCTCCCTGCCCTGGCCCAACCCCCAAACCCCCAGCAGCGAAGCCCTGCCATGCCTCCCTGGCCCCAGCACCGGTTTTCCTCCTGGGCTCAAGGCCACACTCACTGGTTCAGCTCCAGGTCCAGGGTGAAGTTTGAGTTGAAGGCTGGGATGACGAAACTCACCTGGGCCAGATGGACAGGCTGGCATGGGGGAAGAGCAAAGTGGGAGTCAATCCAAGGAGGCCTGAAGGTGGGAGTCAGGGGGACTCTGGGACAGGCAGGAGTCCTGGGGAGGGGGCAGCCAGCCCTAGAAGCTGAGGGCACCATTGATTTGGGGACAAAATGCTTTGTCCCCTTTACTAGTGGGCAGGGGCAGGAGTGTTCTCCCCTTCTGCCCTTTGGGCCTGGGCACCTGCTCACCCTCTCTGAGGCTGGGCTGGAGAGGGGTGCAGCTGGGATGGAGAGGGTCAGCCCAGCCGGCCCGTGCGTCATCATGCCCTCCTGGCCGGTGAGGGGCACCCCACCCTTGGGTGGAGTAACAGGAGGTCCCCAGGAGTATCACGGGAAAGGGACAAACAGGAAGTGGGAGGAGGGCACTCGCTGCCTGTCCCCCTACCCTGGCCCCAGCCTCCATCTACATAGGAGGCCTTGGACAGGGATGCGTGGGTGGGAATGGATGGCCGGGCCCCCCAAAGCTGGGGTGACGGGCAGGTGCCATCCTATTGGGAGGAAGGACTTTGCTACTCTACCCCCAAATCCATTGCCCTCTGCCTCGCCCAAAGCAGCTCATCTTTAATATTTCAATCCCATGGTTAATTTTTAAACATGGAAGTTTTCCTGATAAATTTTTCAGAGTGCAGTGCAGCTGGAGGCTCCAGGTTGCCATGGCAACGCACCAGGCCTGAGCAAGATGGTGGCCCCCCAGGCCTGCACACAAGGACACCTGGATCCCAGCAACCCTAAGGCCCAGGAAGGGCTGAGAGAACTCAGGGCTGGGGCCTTCTCCCGACCCCTAGTTCATTCCAGAAGACTGATTCCAGACCCCCATAGGAGGGTCACCCACTCTGCCTGAAGACAGAAGGCTTGTGTTGGCTGCCTGGCCTTTGTAGTGGGGACAGCAGGTGGCAGGAAGGAAGAGAGCCCCAAGGTCATGGTCATGAAATCCACAGCCTGGGCCTTGTCAGTTTCCTCCTCAACCACCTCTCACGGCTAATCTTTACCAAGCAATTCTTGTGTGCCAGGCTCTGGTCTAAACACTACGGGTATCGCCCCGTGTGATCTTCACAGCAGTCCTCTGGGATAGATGCTACTGCCATTCCCATCTGAAAGACGGGGACAGGCACGGGGGCTGATTAACTTGCCCAAGGTCACACAGCTAAAAAGTGGTGAGCTCGGGAGTCAGCTTCCAGGCCTGTCTCAAACCAAAGGTGGGGTAAAATGGAAGTGGGCCCAGTGGCCATGAGAGGTCCTGGGAGAGGGGCAAGGTGGGGCCAAGGGCAGGGCCTGGGTGGGCAGACCTCTGCACCCCAAGGACACTGACTCACCCCATCCCAAGCTAACCAAGGCTCCTGCTCCATCCTGAGCCCCTAGAGCATCGATCGGCCCGGAAATAGAAAGTCAAGGACAAGGAGTCGCCACATCCTCCTCCCGACCCACGGCCTGAACCATCCGGCCTTCCCCTGCCCTCAGGACTGTTCCTGCTGGTACTATCTGCCCCCGGCCGACAAGCCCCTATGCCAGCCCCCTCCGCGGCTTCCTAGAGGAGCAGCCTGCCAGACCCCTTGCCCTGATGCCGCTCTCTCACCATGCAGCCCCAGGGATGACCCAGAAACTTCTCTGAGCCTCAGATTTTCCCAATGAAAATGGTCAGATGAGCCCAGGTGTAAGGCCGGGAGGTTGGCTGCATGGTGGGGCCATCCTGGGCCTGGAGGATTCCGGCAGAGTCTGCTCTGGCACCAGCAGAATCTCCCTGACTTCTGGGAGATGGGGAGGTCCTCGAGCCACCCCATCTCGCCTGCATCCTCTCTGCAGAGGCCAAGCCAGCCCCAGAACCCTCCTTGTCCACCACCTCCTGCTGCCTGCTGCTCACCCCTTCCCCACCTGGAGCTGCAGAACTTCGGGGGTGGGCTCTCTGCCACCCCAGCAGGACACAGGGCTCAGACCAGATAAGCCCCTGTTGCAGTGCCAGGGCAGCTGGAGTAGGGGCTGGGCCTGGCTGGAGGTAGCCCAGAGGAGGGCTGTGGGAGCCCCCAGAAGGCGGTGGTGGGGAGAGAGAAAGAGACAGAGAGAGAGAGACTGAGAGACCACATACCAAGGCATGTTTGCCTGGCCTGGCCCCATGTGGGGACACAACTCTGTCCCCAGTCTGAGGGAAGAGATGGGTCAGATAAGCCTATCTCAGCCCCAGAATCTCTGTGGCCCTGGGGAGTGGGGAGGGGACTCCTGCTGGCACACAGTCCCAAGAACCACCCCAAGCCCAGCTTTAGGCCAATGTTCTTTTTTTTTTTTTTTTTTGAGACAGTCTCACTCTGTAGCCCAGGCTGGAGTGCAATGGTGTGATCTCAGCTCACTGCAACCTCCACCTCCCAGGTTTAAGCAATTCTTTGCCTCAGCCTCCCAAGTAGCTGGGATTACAGACATTTGCCACAACAACAGCTGATTTTTGTATTTTTAGTAGAGACAAGGGTTTCACCATTTTGGCCAGAATGGTCTTGAACTCCTGACCTCAGGTGATCCACCCGCCTCGGCCTCCCAAAGTGCTGGGATTACATGCGTGAGCCACCATGCTTGGCGAATGTTCTTTTTTTAAAATGAATTAATAAGTTTTTTTAGAGATGGGATCTCACTTTGTTGCCCAGGCTGGTCTTTAATTCCTGGGCTTAAGCCATCCTCCTGCCTCAGCCCCCCAAAGTGCTAGGATTACAGGCTTGAGCCTCTGCATCCAGCCTAGGCCAATGCTCGATCAAAGGCAAACTGCTCTCCCTGCCTGGCCCTTCTTCCTGCCCCTGCCCTGCCTCTGACCTCATCCCATTGTCCCTCCATCCTAGGGGGAGGGGCCTTGGGTCTGGAGGTCAGGCCAGTCCTCAGCCAGCCCTGTGCCCTGCACTTGTCCCTACCAGGCTCTCACATGCTCCAGCTCATTTGATCTCAACCTGCCCAGGCCGTCTGGTCCTCATTTTACAAACACCAGGATGAGGCTCAGGGACACACGTGACTGGTCCGGGGTCAGGGCTGTGTGGCCAGGGAGGTGTGGGGTCAGACCTCACCCTGGGGCTGGAGATCGTGTTCCCACAGCAGCTGTGGCCACCTGGCAGGTGTGATCACCCTTCCACCCGAAGCTCCCCTCTGGCTGGCCCACCCACTCTCCCAGACACCTTGTTCAGAGGGACTGTGTCTTGTCCTCTCTGTACCAGATGTGGGGTGCAGAGAGAAGAAGGCAAAGATTCAGTCGAAGACCCAGAAGCACAAATACAGGTGCCTGGGCTCTGCCCCAGACCTACAGACTCACAGTCTTAGGAAGCGGGAGACTAAGGAGCCTTAGGATTCACAAATGCCCCAGGAAATCCGAGCAAGGAGACTATTGTGCCCCACCACCTCCAGGCATAGCCCCTCAGGTGCTGACCCTGAACTTCTGCCCCAAGCTTGCTCTCCTCCCCACCCTCATCTGTACAGCCTGCACCTGCCAATCCCTGCAGGGCTCTGGACACCTTCCCCCGGGCCTTTAAGCTCACAGTAGACATATGCTTCTTTGATCACTGATTTGGCTTTTCAGGTGGGCGACCTTTACTCCCCTGGAGCCAGGGCTATGCCTGCCTTTTTCCCTGCCCACTGGCTCCACACTCACATTGAATGGAAAGGCACTGCAAGGCCTCAGATAAGCTGCTTCACGCCCCTGGCCTCAGTATCCCCCCGCGGTACAACAGGATTGTTGTGAGGATTCAATAAAAGCCCCTTTAAATGTGTTATCATAAGGGTCAGTAATAATAATAAGAAGAAGAAAGAAGTGTCCTCAAATGAACAGGGCTTTGAGGAACTAGATAAACGACTCCCTTGGATCACCTACTGTGACAGGGATAAGATAGAATGGTGGCCTTATGCTCCAAATCTGGGTGGATGGTGTGATTTACCTGTCAGGTGTCTCACCTGAGGACATCCTTCCGGAATACTCTCCCTCAAGGAGATACCACCACCTTGTGGGCCGGGTGGCTGCAGATGGGGGAGGAGCCAGACAGGCAGGAGCACTGCCTGGGAGTATGTCCCGGCTGGGAGAAACCTCCCACCCACCCACCCACCTGCCAGCTCCCCCCACCCACCCCCGGCCATGTGCTGGTGCTCCATTTATCAAAAGGGCAGCAGGATTCCCAGACAATGAGAACAGCCAGATGAATTTCCGATGATGGGATCTGACCTACATTTTTGAGAACAGAGCCACCTCCTTATGGGGTCATCAGTCCCTCTGGGGACAGACTCTGGACAGCTGGGTTCCTCTAGGCAGCCAGGAGGGTGCTTGGGTGAGGCCAAGCCTACAGGCCAGAGTCCTGCTCTTGTAGTTTCTCCCCTGGACCCCACCCTGAGCCTGACAGGTAACCCCTAAATGCCCTGGCTCCTGTTTCTGACACCCAGCCCTCATGCTAGCACCAGGGACCCAGCACCCTGCCTGGACACTCAGAGATGCTGTTTTGCCAGATCCTGTGCTGGACACCTGACATTCGGTGTCTCCTTGAGTCCTTGCAGCAGCCTAAGAGGTGGAGACTGAGCATCCTCATTCATAAAATGGGGGATTCGGGGGCTCTGTGGCTGGCTCAGGTCACACAGTCAGAAGCAGGGGAGCAGGCCACCCAAGGCCACAGCATGCAGCCCTTCTCTTCTTTCTTTTTTTTTTTAAGACAAAGTCTTGCTCTGTCACCCAGGCTGTAGTGCAGTGGCGCAATCTCAGCTCATTGCAACCTCTACCTCCCGGGTTCAAGTGATTTTCCTGTCTCAGCCTCCCTAGTAGCTGGGATTACAGGTGCGCACCACCACGCCCAGATAATTTTTGTATTTTTAGTAGAGATGGGGTTTCACCATGCTGGTCAGGATGGTCTTGATCTCTTGCCTTGGCCTCCCAAAATGCTGGGATTACAGGCGTGAGCCACCACTGCATGCAGCCTTTCACGCCAAAACTGAGCCTGTTGAACTCTCTGGCGTGGCAGGGCTCAGTT